ACCTTGGAATGGAGAGAGGCCAGGGGTGGTGGGTATTGTTCATTGATAAAGAGCATCTGCGTCATCAACTTATGTGGAAGTCTAGGTTTCACACATGTACACACATGCACACAAACACAAGGGAGAAAATAAAATGTTCTGTCTATGCCATACATCTTTACTATGCAAGGACATGACTTCCTGGGGCTCACAGTGTGGCCCAATTATGGAGTGCCTGCCTAACATCCTAGTTTCCTAGATCCTAGTTTCATTTCCACAGGACATCACTTTCTGTCTGCAGACAAACAAAAGCCCCCCTCCCCCGCAAAGTCTAATCAAGCCGGCTCTCTCGTCTTAGACTTCTAGCTTCTAGAACTGCGAGGGAAAAAAAATTGCAATATTGGTTCCCAACCTCCCTCCCCCTCCCCCACTCCTGGCTGTTTTTGATATAGGTCTTGCTATGCAATGCAGACTGGCCTAAAATTTATGATGTCCTGTCTCAGTCTCACATGTACTGAGATCACAGGCATATACTCCATGCCCAGCCCTAGACAATTATTCTTCCTAGCAAATTGAATGAAAGGGGAAATTTCTTCTCTGCTCCCAAGGTAGCAACAGTTTATGTATCTGTGAGTTTTCCTGTCTCTATACAACAAGAGACTGTTCTGCCAGGTAGACCTTAAGTTTCCTTGGCCCTTTCCATCCTGAGTACATCTTTTTCAGCAGGATATGCACTGATTCTGATTTGGCTTACAACTCTACTGATAGGATTGCTTGTGTTTTTATTACTGGCAATAAAAGTTACTTCACGGAGCTGGGCGCAGGGGCGTACGCCTATAATCCCGGTACTTGGGGAGGCAGAGGCAGGTGGATCTCTGTGAGTTCGAGGTCAGCCTGGTCTACAAAGTGAGCCCAGGATGGCTAAAGCTACACAGGAAACCCTGTCTCAAAAAACAAACAAACAAACAAACAAACGTTACTTCATGGATACATCTCCAGTAATTTCATGCTTTTTAGCGGTGATATCAATGGGGAAAAGGAGACTAGACAGGAGCCAGGCTTCACTTCAGCTTTGTGATTGTGAAGAGTTTAAATGTAACAAAAGTTGAGGTTCCATTATAATAACATATTATTCTGCCTTACTTCATAGAGCTGACTTTACAAATGGCTCGGCATGTATAAGAAGGTAAGATGAACTAAAGATAATATTTGGAGATATCATTGCCTACAATTAGGTAGTTAATTTTTCTCTTGAAAGGAGAAAATCATGAAAGAAAACGGGGTACATAAAATTTTCTCATAAGGAAAAATATCATTATAATTACACGCTAAAATTAAATACATTTGTTCATAGTTTTTTAGCTTCTCCTAGAAGGTAAGGTTTGTTGAATGCCAACTTTATTGTTATTTGTTGTGCGTCTTAAGAACATGAAGCAGCAAATGTGGTATAAGTATTTGGTGAAAAAAAAAAGCATAAGCACAGCTTAAGAATGTATGAATTAATGTGTGCATGTGTGGAAGTCAGAGGATAATTTTCGGGAGTCATTTTTGTCTTCCAACTGTGTGTGTCCCCAGGATCAAATGTGGCTCACTGAGCCATCTTGCATGCTTTAAGAATTATTAAAGATTATTATTATTTTTATTTTGGTTGTTTTTGAGACAGGGTCTTCCTCAGTAGCCTTGGCTGTCCTGGACTCACTTTGTAGACCAGGCCTCAGACTTGCAGAAATCCACCTGCCTCTGCCTCCCCAGTGCTGGGATTAAAGGCATGTGCTACCACACCTGGCTCAAGAATTATTTCTTATGTTGAAGATTCATTCAAAATGTTGGTATCTTACTTACTGTCCTAGCACTGTGAAGAAACGCCATGACCAAGTCAGTTTATAAAAGGAAGCATTTAACTGGAGGCTCACTTACAGTTTCAGAGGGTGATGCATGGTCAACATGGTGGCAAGTATGGCTTCAGGCAGGCAGCCATGGTGCTGGAGCAGTAGCGGAGAGCTCACATCTGATCTGCAAGATGGAGGCAGAGAGAGCTCATTGGACCTGGTGAGGGCTTTAGACACTTCAAGGCACCCCCAAGCGACATATGTCCTCCAACAAGGCCACATTTCCCAATCCTCCCTGACAGCCCACCAACTAACTGGGAACCAGACATTCAAATAGATGAGCCTGTGGAGGCCGCTGTCATTCAAACCGCTACCACTGGTAAGGTTGGAAATGAGAGGTGAAGACGTTCATCCTGACAGCAAGATAGCTTAATTAGTCAATGGGTTCATCCATAATCCAGCAGAGAGAGGAGAATAAATTCTCTAAAATCACATCCCTCCTTGGAATACAGTTTTAGATGAAAGAAATATTGAGAAACAAGTAGAAGCCAGGCATCGTGGTGCCTGCCTGTAATCCCAGAAGGACTGTCCCAAGTTTGAGGCAGTCTGATTTATGTAGCAAGTCCAGGTCAGCTACAGTAAAACCCTGTTTTGAGAAAAGAAAAGAACATGAAAGACGAAGGACCCTTTGAAGAGCTTCCAGACAGCCTGTGAAGTAACGGGAAACTCACAGGTACTTTGGAAAGTAGGAAGCTGTTCAACACAACCTCAGCCTAAGTGTTCCTCATGGACCCCTACAGGATAGTGCCAGATTGTTGGAGTCATTGAAATGTTTGTTCCTTTGCTACCTTTGAGATGTAGCTTAAGATGTGTATGTGTGTGCTATATGCATGTATGTGTGTGGGTACACATGCATGAAGGCCAGATGTCGGATTTTACTATTTCACTCTATACTACTTTGAGACAGGGCCTCTCCTTAAACCTGGGCCTGAGGTTGGCAGCCAGAAAGCCCCATCCATCCTCCCCCCCCCCCCCTCTGAGCACTGGGGTTCCAGGTGTGAGTCGATAGACCCAGAGCTTCTGCTTGTTTTTACATGGTGCTGCCATGTAAACTCAGACCCCCATGCTTGAGCAGCCAGCGCTCTTTAACTACAGCGCAGCCTCTCCAGCCTCTCCCTAGCCTGTCAGCATGCTCGCTAGAGGCCCCAGCTCTACACATCATCACAGGTGTTCTCCAGACCCTTCTCCTCAGGGAAACAGGAGCAAAAGGATAGTTCCACCTCAGAGGTGGAAAATCTCCCAGAGAGAGACTCTTGCAGCTGGAATCCAATTTCTTGATATTTCCGAAGCTGGAATCTGTTATAAGTAGAGAATGCTGAAGGTTAATGGGCTCCTGTTGCTAATGAAACACTGAGAGCAGAACACAGCGGTGCCTCTGCCAAGCAGAAACCAGCCTTTTCATAAAGCACATATTGTAATAATCTGACCAGCAAGCAGCTCTTAGTCGTTCCCCCCTCTCCAAGGGGCTTGATTAGGCCACTTCCTTTTTTTCCTCTTTTATTAGAGACATGATTCTGTTTCAAAGGGGAACTTGGGTTTCCATTACCTCTTGGCATTTTTCACCCATTGTCTGCCATCTAGTGTTGTGTGGCTCAAATCAATGGACAGTCAAGGCTGGTGAGCAATGCTTCACAATTATAAGCACCTACAACCTCAAGTTCAAAAGCACAGTTGTGACCTTGTGCTCTCATTCTGGAAATCTGTGCTCAGCTGTTTCAAACCTCATTGTCTTAAGAGACAGATTAATTGGTTGTGGCCAATTACATGCCACCTTCACCCAGCATGAGTCAAAGCAGCTAATTTATAGCAACATGGGCATAAGTGCCAGTTGGAAAGGCATGGTTTTCAGGCCACTGTGGCTGTAAGTGGCAGGAATGTAGTGCAAGCTAGCCGAACAGAACAGGGACCTTCTGGTTACGTGTGAAAAGTGCGGCAGAGCTGGACCTCAAATAACAGCAGGAGCCTTTCACCTTCTATGTGTTTTTGGCTTCAAGATTTTACTACTTGGTAGCAACAGAGCTTTTAGGCTAACTGAACAGCTCCAGGCTATGAATAAATATGCACCTTTGACCCAGGCACATCAAAGCCTGCAGGCCGATCCTAGGAGGCACCATGTGAGTCACATGCCTGTCACCACGGCAGTAGTAATTCACAAGGCATGACTTCCTGTGACTGCTGGGTCTGGAGTGGGAAGTTAGGCCCCACCGAGTCTCAAGGACAGAGACAGTTTCCTATGGAAGAGGGGAGAAGATTTTCCTTAAGAGGGAATTCTGGGATGACAGACTACCATATGCTTCTAGAAATGAAGTTTCCCACAGAGAATTTGGGCAGTGAGGCCACCATCTGGATGTGGTGAGTGGTCGAGCTGCTGACCTTAGACCTGGAGGTTGTCTCAGAACCCTAGAAGAAGCAGAAGAAAATTGGAGGTGGGTGGGTGGCAGTCAGTTCTTGGACCATGTAAGACAAGGGGAAGTGCAGGCTTAATGAGTGAGGGCTCAGAGGATGGCCACGCCTAACAAATGTAATCCAGACCAGAGCACCAAGACAGGGATGTTAGAGGGAGGGTAGATATTTACATATGATTCTAGACAAGAATGCATGTATGCATTTTCAGAACTGTTTATATATTTTTTTTTCTGAGAAGTCTTGACTCCACTTGCTAAAAGTAGATAAACCTTCTGACAGAAGGCTCTGTCTAACACCCTGAGAAATTCTATCATAATACTTTTATAGCCATCACATGTACTAGAAATGAATGTCTAAACTCACCTACTTTGTTTAGAGCTTGGCAGATGTTTCTCAACTTGAAGCCATCCAAGGATGCATGTATCTCTGTGCACAGCATGCCACCATGTTAAGCCATCAGGGCAACAAGGCAAGGGACACAGGTTAGAGGTGTTAAGAAGGTTTCCTATATGAGTACAGATTCACCCCTTCACTTCCAGCACATATGTCCAGCAGTATGGGAAGTTAACAGAATCAGAATTGGCATTAGAAAATTAGCTCAGACTGGCCTTGAACTTGCCACCCTGTTGCCTCAGCTTCCCAGTAGCTGCAAGTACAGGTCTGTACTATGAGGCTCAGCAGTATAATTCTCCATTGTTTTCTTTCAGACAAGGTATTGCTGTGCAGTCCTAGGTTGGCCTGGAACTGCCTGTGTAGCTCAGGCTAGCTTCAAACCCACAGTCCTCCTGCCTCAGCTTCCCGAGTGCTGGGATTACAAACATACACTACCATGTCTAACCTGAGCGCACACTGAAAACCTCTGCGTTGTGTCCCTGGCTCTGTTCTCTGTCCTCCCACGCACGTCTTGTGCATCACAGAGGCTCGTGATGCACTCGTTACCAGGGAAGGTAATCACCTTTCTTTCCTGTGTGCATCTGTAAGGAAGAAATTACTCAGTCACCTGACAGAATCAAAACCACACAACAGCATGTCTCTTTCTAGCTAAATGAGCTCACAGATAAAATGTGAACACCACGTGTCACATAGCTCCAACTTAGTGAGAAAAGAAGCTGCTGGGAGAAAAACGAACTGTTGTACATCTTCTCCCCTAGCATAGATCTTCAAGACAGCATCTTTGGTTTGGTTTGTGTGGTCCCGATGGGCATCGCAACAGTGCAGATTCTGGCTTGGAGCTCCTTCTCCATCAGGAACAGAACAGACTGTTCGGGAGGGATTGTGTAAGCACAGCGGCCGTGCCACCCCTTCAGGTGCCTGTCAGATCCTATAGGTGACACCGCGCTCAAAGGCAGAAACCAAGCAAATAAAACAAAACCTGACAGCATGTTCTGAGTGTTTTTTGACTCTCTAAGTTAAGGCCTCTCCGTGGGCTGCTTCCTGGTGTGGTGTTCATACAGCTGGGGACCTGAAACTCTTCACCACTTGACTACCTTGTGTGACGAGAGCCCGCTGGTCAGTGCATACACTTCTCTTAATAGTTCTTCAGATCTCACATGACTTCTCTGGCCAATTTTATGAAAAGGCAGCATTCTTCCCTCCTCTTTTTTCCACGGGGCTGGGACCCTTTTTCATGTTAGGCAAATGTTCTACCACTGAGCTACGTTTTAAAAATGTTTTTATTTTGCATCAGGGTTGCATTAGGTTGTCCAGGCTGGCTTCGAATTCACGTTGATACTCTGTCAGGCACTGAACTGGCAATCCTCCCGTTTCGGCCTCTCAAATAGCTGGAATTATAGGTCTATGCCACCAAGAAGAGACCTCCTACAGCTTTCCCCATTAACACTGTATCACCATTGTCTGCATATTTTTATGAGATGAAAAGCAGGGAAGGTAATTACACTCCTTAACTTGGAAATGTGTTACAAAACTTTTATAGTGAAAATAGAGTATTAGTGGTGAAAAGACACGTGAATCATTAGAACAGGACCAAAGGCTAAGAAATAACTCCCACATTTACAGTGAACTGAGTTTTCAACAATGGGCCAAAAACATACAAGTGGGGTAAAGGGAAGTGTCTTTAATAAATGATGTTGGGGAAAAGTAGATAGCCCCATTCAGAAGAATAAAATTTGACCCTTATTACACACTATAGAAGTCAAGTGAAAATAAAGACTCAAAAACATTCAATACTGTAAAACCAATGAAGGAAAACATGGAGGAAAAAGAAATGGGGTTCTATAAAACTGAAAAGTTTCTGCACACTAAAGGAAATAGAATGAAGAGGCACCCCATATATTGGGAGACAATATTTACAAACCATGTACTCGAGAAGGGGCTGATAGCTAAAACACGTAGCAAATCCAATGCAAATGTATTAAAACATCTGGATTTAAAAATGGAGAAAGGAGCCAGAGGTGGCGGCACACACCTTTGATCCCAGCACCTGGAGGCAGAAGCAAGCTGATCTCTGTGATGTTGAGTCCATCCTGCTTTACAGAGAAAGTTCTAGACTAGGCAGGGCTAGCCAATGAGAGAGAAAAAAAATCATATTTAGTATAAAAGAGTAATGTTTTTCATCAGTGTCTTGATGGGATTGGGAGTCAACCAGGAGTCAGGCCTCTCGGCGGGTCTGTGAGGGTATTTCTAGAGGGACATAGGTGGGGGAGCCCACATTCCGCACAGCACCATCCCTGTCTGGATCCACAGCCTGAATGCAAAGGGAGAAATAGGGTTACAGAGCACCATCATTCACTTGCTTCCTGAGGTGGCACGGCGAGAGCAGCTGCCTCCCGGGCGATTCTACCCTCTGAGACTGTGAGAGTCACATGAACTCTCCAACCTGGAAGTGTGTTTCTGCCAGGTGTTTGGTCACAGCGTCAGGAGGAGCGAGCAGCAGTGAAGCTTTATTGTAACTCTTGATTGCAGCATGACATATTACATAAAGTTTATCAGGGGTTGGGTGCTGTCCAGGTCAGTGATAGACTTAGCATGGGTGAAGTCCTGCTGACTTTTTCAGCACACAAATTCGTGAATTCAGTTAAATTTAACTTTTTTTTTTTGAGACGGTTTTAGTTTGTGTCCCAGACTGGCCTGGAACTTGCTATGTAGTACAGGCTGACCTCAGTGGCAGTCCTCCTGTCACAGCTTACTGAGTATTGGAATGTAGGCATAAGCCATCACACTTTGCTGTCTATGTCGTTTGTTGTAAATTACATACACAGCTTTTACTGTGATTTGCTTTTTCTTACAAGTTCCCACATGCTCAAGGGAAAAGGTGGATAAAGTTAAGGACTTTAACTTCAACAAGTTCACACAAGCTTACATTTGACAATGGTGTTAATTTCTGCTAGTGTCCCTCTGCAGAAAGTGCATCAAGTTTAGGCTGCCATTTACATAGCATCATCCCATATGTACACATAGACAAACAATCAGACATATAGGCCTGTACATGTTCATGCACACATTCAGTGAACAATACAAAAGGAGCTCCTTACATACAGACAGACAATTGACATATACTCATGTGTCATATGAACAAAAAACAGACAGAGATACATATTTACATGTAAACACATATCTAAACACGTATTTACAACTCATGGATGAAGCAAATTCCAGCCAGCTTTCATTCAATGGGCTTCCACCATCGGGCTTCTGCCAATGGTGTGTGTGTGTTCTGCCACCTTTATTGTATAACTTTTATACCTCTGAGAGAAAGCTCCCAGAAAGGGAATTACCTCATAGTCAAAAAGGCAACTAATCTCAAAAACAGATGAATTCTAAAATATAGCAGGTTACATATTTTAAAACTAAACATTTCTTGTCTATGTATCCATTACATAAGTTCATAGTGAGTTCAGAGTGACAAAGGTTGACAAGGCCTAAAGGTTAACAGGGTCCAAAAGTTATAAGAATATATGTCTTTTCAATTAAGACTGACCTGGCTACACATTTTTCAGCTATCTCTAAGTTTATAGTGAGTTAAGGACAATAATTTTATCTGTCTTTCATTCTAAGAAACAAAGTAAATTTAAAATGACATTATATAATACCGTAAGGTGACAAGGTATAAGGAATTATATCAGAACAGTTTGTATATAATAACATCAAGGTTTGTACTTAATTAGACATTGCTTGGTAGTCCTATTTTAACTTGGGTTCATGGGAAGTTTAAATCAACTTGCTTATATTTATGGTGTATACCAGGATTTGTAACGAAGGCTTATCTTGAAAACACACATCTGTCTCAATCATGTCTCTTAGTGAGGCATCTGGAGGTCCACAAAGGTATTTATTGCAGCCATAAACTTTCTAAAGTTGTTTTAGAAGCTCTAGAACAATTTAACTTTTAAAATCATTTGACTCAAATCAGGAATTCCATAATCAGCAATTAATTCATCTGAACAGCAGTATGTCTTCATTAAGATCCCATAGGAAGTTTGTTCAGAGTATGTAAATATCCAGTAGGTGATGATTCACACCGTACCAGAGAAAGGAGAGATACAACAGTGCACAAAGAATGAGTGTCAGAGACTGTAAGTAATTCTGGGGTGTGTCATGGTACAGACTTGGCAAAATCCCGGATCCCTTTCCAGAAGGCCCACCTGCCTAATGAGCTCCTTTAACAAAATGGTTCCTGACACTGTTTCATGGATACCATCAGGAAATGTCACCTTTCTTCTGGATTACCACGGTAGACTGTATAAAATGTCCCATGGCTCTCTTGGTTGAGTGCATCATTGCTTTTGCTGAAGACCTTCCCTCTGTCTTCTTTTTGTGAACCATATTGAAATCTCCCTGTTTATAAGATTCTGAAGTGGTACACCTGGGAGAATTCTGCAAACCTGCATTTTAACCCAAAATGCCAGGGTGGTGCTAGCATGTGGAGGCCTGCCCATAAACACTAGGAGGCAGCAGAGCGCCAAGGTGATGAAGGTATTCTGCTAAGACTGCCAGGTTTAAAATCTTGCCTCACCCCTTTCACAGTGAAAAATTGTGGTGCCTTGGGGAGTGCTGCTGGAAAAAGGTGGGAACGAGAGAAACAATTGCACCAGAGTCACAAGGATGAAAAGAAAGGACACGTGTAAGACACTGAACACAGTGCCTGGCACCAAGTACATGTTGTCATTGTTTTAATTGACAGGTGGTACCCACGCAGGGATGTGGGAAGGGACTCTCTTTCTGGATGAGTAGGCTGTGACCTACATCCAGAATTCCACGAGGCAGAAATATGTCTTTTTCCATGTTCATGAGTTCTTTCCAGTGCTTCACAATAGACTGGACAAGCCTCACACTATGAAACAGCAGATGGAGTATGCATGCTTGTATGCCTGTACGTGGCATGCATGAATGACAAAGACAAAGGATTTATTTTGGGTCATAAAAAGCTGATAATTTGTTCTACACAGTTCTTAAAATACCATCACCTCCACTTGTAAACTTTGTCACATTTATGTGCTTTTTGGAGTTGATCATTTCCTGTTCTGTGAGTGTTATGGAACTCTGAAACAGTGAGACTTATTTTCAAGGTATGTGGGAAAACACTTTTCCACTTCTTTTTGTGGATTGTGTAAGAGCAGATGCATTTTTTATTAGAATTTGAGGAAATGTTCAGGAATAATGAAAGCGAGCATGTGACTATCCTATAGCTTTCTGCATGAGTGTTTTTCTTAATTCTCATTCTTTGTGGTTTTCTGTGTACGTGTGTGAGGGTGCACACGCATGCATTTGTATATGCACAGCAGTCAGGTCAGTACTGAGTGTCTTCCTTCATTGCTTTTGTATTTGTCTGTCTATCTCTCTATCATCTATCTGTGCCTATGTGTGATATGCATAGATGACAAAGGCAAAGGAATTTTATTTTAGATCATAAGGAGCTGATAATTTGTTCTGCATAGTCCTTAAAATACAATCTGTCTGTCTGTCTGTCTATCATCTGTCTGTCCGTCTTTGACATAGACTCCCTTACTGAACCTGGAGCTTGTCATGTTAACTAGCCTAGCTGGTGGGTAAACCTCAGGGATCATCTGCTTCCCTGGTGCTGCTTCACAGACATGGCTGCTGTGCCTGGGTTTTTATGTGTCCTAAGACTCAAACTCAGATTCTTATATTTGAAAGGCAAACAGTGCACCAACTGAGCCATTTCCCAGTCCCTTGTTGCTATTTATACAAATAAAATTGTTATGGTTATGGAGTATCCATGCGCACATGAAAAGCATAATGGGAGTAACCAGACATTAGGTCTCGTGTGTCCTGGTACAAATGTTTATTTGTTTTTGATGGTAAAGACGGGATGGGGCTGGATAAATTGGCATAGAGTATGGGGGTTGACAGATGAATGGATAAACAGTGTTTATTCATATGTCTCTATACGTGTTTGTGTGTGAATTTTACTTAGCCTTAAGCAAGACATTCTGATACCCGCTACGGTATAGATGAAGTATAAGTGCATTATACTGAAAAACATTTTGGTATCACTTATGGGAGACACTTGGAGTCAAGTTCTTAGAGACAGAAAGTAGAATGGCAGTTGTCAAGGTGTGAGGGGAGGAAAGGTGACAAGCGAATGTTCAACAGCCAGAGAGTGTTAGTCTGAGAGCAGAAGTGTAGAGGTGGATTGTGGTAAGGGTGACGCGTGCAAATGTTATCTCCTTTGAAGAGCCTGCATTTTGTTTGTGTGCGCGTGCGTGTGTCTTAAGTCTCTGTGTACAGATGCTATGATGCACATGTGGGGGTCAGAGGAAATCGGTCTTTCCTTCTACCATGTGGGTCCTGGGGGCTAACCTCAGAAGGCCAGGCTTGGTAGCAGGCACTTACCTGCCGAGCCATCTCTCAGGCCTGAAATGATCGCAACAACAATAACAATATAATAATAAAATAAAAATTTCTCCTCCATGTTCTCCCTTTTGAAAATGGTCATGTACCTGCTCTTTAAAGTTAAAAAATATGGAACAATCTTCAGTTTTCGTGTCTTCCTTGTTCAGGGAGCTTGCTAATCTCTGTCTTGTTCCAGTTTTAGTATATGTACTGACAAAGTGGGCACTCTTTACTTGATTAGAATTGAGGTCTGGGCATAGTAGCTCATGCGTATAATCCCAGCACTCAGAAGGATGAGGCAGAAGAATCGTGGCCATGATTTCAAGGCCAACTTAGAGGTGTCACAGAGTAAAACCTTGTCTCAAAAGGATCCTAAAGGCTTTTCTAGAAAAATACTACAGCTGATAAATACATTCAGCAAAGTAGCAGGACACAAAATCAACACAAAAAACCAGTAGCCTTTATACATACAAACAGCAAACACTGAGAAAAGAAACTGGGGGCTGTGGATGCAGCTCAGTTGGTAAAGAGCCCTCTGCACAAGGACCTGAGTTCACACATCCAGCACCCATGTAAAAACTGAGTAGGTGTTTGTAATCCCAGCACTGGGATAGAAGAAGAGAGAAGGGACCATCCCTAGAGCTCATTAGCCAGCCTTGCTGAGCCAGTGAGCTCCAGTTCAGGGAGAAAAATTAGTCTTGAAAACTAAGGTGGAGCTTGAGCAAAGATTACACCCGATATCAGTCTCTAGTCTCTGCAAACACACCTGCATACACACACATGCACACCTTCACCCCCAGACATGTATATATGTGACACAATACACCAACAAAGCAAAGACTACATATAACTAACCTAAAGCAGTTTGTCTCAATTAGATGTCCATTTGAATTGCAACAAGTTTGGCTCTGCTGCCATTTACAACTTTGATTATAAAAAGAGGTATTTTCTTGGTGGGACGACAGCCTGACCTATATTTACAGATATACTCCACCTTGCTTAGGTTCTTAAGCAAAATTGGCTTCCACATGTCTCAGTGGTGGTATTGGGAGTAGCATGTGGGATCCTGGTTCTGTTGGTCTTAGGGGAGACTTCTTTGTGCTTGGGAAAAGCTGCTAGAATTGAACATACCCAAAAACATCTCAAACTTTTACCAAAAGCTTCAACACTGAGATGGGCATGTAGTTATCTTAGCATGTTCAGGATCTTGGGCGTAATACTCAATTAGCTTACAAAGCTAACAAAGCAAGGACAGAATAACTCAATAGCTGTTTTCAATACTGACTTTATCTATTTAGGACCCTATATGAAACAAAGAAGTTTTGACAAGGAACACCTTAACTGGAGAGGAAAATAGTAGGGAGTTTCTCATTCTGTGTTTAATTTTTTAAAAGAGACAACGTTTTGGACTAGAACTCAGTCTATAGCCCACCTGCCTTTTGCAGGTCATAATCTTCTACGTCATCCTCTAGAGGTCTGAGGTTATAGGCATGCACCATCGTTCCTGGTTTGATTGCCCAAGCATCCTCTTTCATCAAAATGTTCTGGTTTGTGATAGTCTTCTGATTCTCGGACTCTCTAGTTCTCTCTCTGTCTCTCTCTCTTTCTCTGTGTGTGTTTGTAGTCCATTTCAAACTTGCTGTGTAACCAAGGATGACCCTGAATTTAGTGGTTGTGGTTGCAGTTTGTGTGCATGATTTTGGAGGTCAGGGGACAACCGTAGGTGTTGTTATTCAGACAGAGGCATTGTCTGCCTTTTTTTTTTTTTTCCTCCCTCAGATGTGGTCTCAAACTGACCTGGAACCAGTGTCTCTGTCTCTCTAGTGATGAGTTTAAAGGCATGAGTCATCATTAATTTTTTTTTTTAAAATATCAGTGCTGGGGATCAGACTTAGGGTCTCACAATTGTAAGGAAAACACTTCACTGTCTCCTCGGTCTGACCTTGAACTTCTTATCCTTTTGCCTTCCTCTTGAGTGCTGGGATTACAGGTATGCATTATGTAGCTTATGTAGTTCTGAGGTGATAAAGTAGGACTTCATGTATGCTGGGCAAGCACTGAGCCACATCTTTAGCCATGTTCAGTTTATATGGTATTGAGGACTGCACCTTGCACTTCACACAAGCTCCGTGAACACTGTATCAGCTGAGCTACAGCCCAGGTTCCAACTAAGCTTGCTCCCTAGGCTCCATTCTCCCTCACCCCCATAATGAGTGTACTCACATTAAGTATGAGGAAGATCCTAGGCTTAATTATAAAATAAGCCCAGATCATACATGGCTATTTTAAAAACGAATAATAGTTTTCTCCAGAGAAGGAGGTAGTTCTATCTGATTTTTTTGGGTTGGAGGATTGCTCAAGTATTCTCTTTCATCAAAATGTTCTTCCTTATTTCTAACCACTTGGTAGTTATGCAAAAATAAAGTAGTGGCCTCTTCCATGCCAGCAGACATGTGGCTATACAGCAGCACAGTATATAAACTCTTCTAGATAACTTTGCTTGTATGCATGCATTTTTGCTCTATTAGCAAATACTTAGATTTTTAAAAGGATTCTCATGATCCAGGGCAATGTTTTAATGTCTCATATAAAACAGAAGTTTGAATGATTTTTTAGTCATAAAGTAAGTTTTTGTAGTTTCAAAGAAAGTGTATCAAAATGAGGTATCGTAAAGTTATGTTGTGAATTGGGTGGAGAGGGAGAAATCACTCATAAGACCAAACCCACATATGTACAGGAGAGAGCAATTAAGAGGCCAAGCATAGGGGTTGCTTTGAAAGTACATTTAAAACAAGATGAAAGAGCTCTGGGCCTTTGAAAATGCCCCAGAAACAATGAAAACAAGAGCTTTCTTCTTTTATCAGGCTTCTGACTCAAACTCACTTGAAAGGTCCATATTTACTTTATACACACACACACACGTCTGTGTACACATATATATGTATGTATATGTATGTATATGTGTGTGTATATATAGGCCACATGGATCCCTTCAAGCATATCATCTTGAGCTACATAGTGAGACACTATCCAAAAACCAGGGGCTGGGGATGTAGCTCAGTGGTAGAATACTTGCCTAATATCTACAAGGTTCTAGATTTGATCTCTAGCATTGCCAAAAGAAAAATTCTAGCAGCAGTCTTACACAATATGGTGTAAGTACAGGTATGGGAAACCGATCTTGAACTCATGATCTTTCTGCCTCTACCTTCCAAGTGCTGAGATTACATGCTTATACCACAATGCCTAGCTCCTTCTGAGATTAAAAACATTTCAAAACCACCACCACCAACAACAACAAAAACCTTACTAAAATGGCCTAAGTTTGAAGGGATACATTTGGCTTACACGCACACACACACACACACACACACACACACACACACACACACACACTATGGACCTTTAAAATGGCAAAGTGTCAAGTGATGCCTGAACATCCCTGGGACTCCTAAATACCTTGTGCAAGGACAGCAGGGTTGATTTTAGATGCTTTGATTGCTGACTGAATGTAAAGCGTGGTGCTAATCTCTATGGTTTTCTTCAAAATTCTAAAGACCATGACTGCTTATATTCTAAAAGGTTCTAGTAAACACCCTATTTCAGTTTCTGTAATCATTCAGGGTACACCTATAGCCCAGCAGGAACTTGGGCAGCTTGGCAGCTTAGAGGATGTGAAAAAGAGGGCCACACAGCCATACTTCCTTAGAGCAGCTTGTCCTGAAGGGTCCTGCTTTCCACTCCCAGTCACACTGTGTTTCTCTAAAGCTTTCTAACAATACACAGTCCAATTCCAGTGCTCATCATTTCTTAATCATCCACTCATTTCATATTTGCCGGTCGGGTTTACCTCCACACTTAGACAGAAGGCTTGAGGGACGTGAATTGCTTCGGTTGTTTAGTGTCCTAGTCCTCTAGTTTAGGGCCTGGCATGCTACCATGCTCAACAATATTACTGAGTATGTGGAAGTTTCCTTTCTTCATACCTTCTGCTGATATTGCTGGCATAAACTGAGGTAGGTGTGAGTTTGTCATTCAGGGAGGAAGGGAGTTGTGACAGCTCAGAATGCTCTGGAAACAGGCGAAACACCATGCCTGCTAAAAAGGCAAAAGTGTGAATCAGTGAGAAATGTCATATAAATCAGAGCACAGGAGGCTTTCTTACTGGAGACAAGCATCTCTGAGAAAGCAGATAACCTGAGTTTGCTGCCTGAACTTGTGATTTTGTTTGAACGTTTTATAGCTTTGAATTCTGTATTCCTTACCCTCTGCTCTCATCTTCATTCCCTTAGGATAAAACTCTCATTAGATATGACGATATTTTGCTCATTGTTATGGCAAAATACTTGACAAAAACAGCAAAGGGAGGAAAGGTTTCTTCTGAGTCATGGTTTTCGGTCCATCATAGCAGAAGCGTGACGCAGTGACTGGCAGCTCACATTGTGGCTGACCAGGAAAAGGAGAACGAGACATAAATCAGGCCTGGGCTCTCACCTTCAGAGACTGGCTCTTATTCTGCTTCTGCCAGCCAGGCTCCATCTCTCAGAGGTTCCATAGCCATCATCCCCTGAACCTCTACCACAGACAGCTTCATCGACCAGAGAACAAGTATTCAGAACATTAGCACAACTGTGAGAACATTTCCAGACATGTTAGTTAAAAGAAATTATCATCATAGGTCTTAAGAAAATAATTTGTGAAGAGACATAAATCACATTAGGATTAAGTATAATTATCAGAGTGCTATTTTGTAGTTGAGGAGGAGTTCAGACCACCTGATTATCACAGATGAATTGTAAAATTGGTCAGCTATAGGTAAGGAAAGGGCTTCTGAGGAAAGGCTGATTCATCCAGATTGAAGATGATAAAGCTTGATCTCACTATGCCTTGAAGTGCTATAATAAGCCTTTCATATTTGGAAGAGACTGACTTGGAGAGGTCATGTGATTTGCCTTCAGTTACACAAGCAAGAAGACACAGCCAGGCTTCCACACCATGTAGTGTCTCAGGCTCAGGTCCCAGGTGAGCAGCCCTGGGGAGGTCTCCAGGGAAGCACACTTCGTGATTTGTGTTCGTTACCTCAAGTCTTTAGGCTGCTATTTTGTTCTAAATTAAATTCTATGTGTATGGCTGTTTTGCCTGCATGCATGTGTGTGTATCCTGTGTCTGTCTGGTGCTGGCTGAGGTCAGAAGAAGGTGTCAGATTCTCTGGAAATGGAGTTACAG